ACAACCAGATCCTGATGAAAGACCCAAGAGAAAGACCCTTGATTCTGTACACCGACGGGAGCGGAATTGATGGAAGGATAGGAGCGGCAGCGGTCGTGGACCTTGAGGATCAACATGCTCATAGCCAGATGGGAGATGATAATACGTCCACCGTATATGCGGCAGAGCTTCGAGCCATTGAGATGGCACTTGAAATGGTTCTGGAAAGCACAGAGCCATGGGCTAAGCAGGCGAAAAACGGGGTAGTCATCTTTGTAGACAGCCAAGCAGCGCTGAAGGCGCTGAGACGACCGCGGATGCCGTCAGGACAGGTCTATCTAGCAGGATGCCTCAACCTGATCCGACAACTTGCGGGCAGAAGCATTCGGACAGAACTCAGATGGATTCCTGCGCACCAAGGAGTCATTGGCAACGAGATCGTGGACCAACACGCAAAAGAAGCGGCGCAGGAACAGGACGGGCTGCATAACCCCCTCAACCGAGACATATGTCTCGCAGCCGCAGCGAGACGACGAATTCGCAGAGAAGCGAAGCTGGAGTGGGACAGAACGTGGGCCAAGGAAGCGACCAGTCGTCCGACGAAACGCTTGATTGAAGCACCAACAAAGAAGACGCTGGAATACTGGACGGGCTTGCGCAAAGCGACGACATCGATTCTGATGCAGCTTAGAACTGGGCGAATTGGCCTAGGGGCTTACCTGAATCGTATCAACCGACGCGAAACAGCGCGGTGTGATTGCGATCTTGGCAGCCAAACAGTAACACACGTCCTACTGGAATGCCCCTTGCACCAGGACGAGCGAGACTGGATGAGAAGCGCTCTCTCATACCAGGGAGTCGCTCTCCACCGGGACGAACTCCTCACACGACCGGAGGCCCGCACAGTTGTGGCCGAATTCATGGTCAAGACCGGCCTCCTAGGCCAATTTCAGACAGTCGACCCTACGGCTCTGGGCGAGGAAGGGGACGACAAAGGAGCGGAGACAATGATCCCTTAGACAGTGTGACGGAAGAAGAAGGATGGCGCCCATTAGGAGTGCAGTGCCAGGTCCACTGTACTCCCTTGATCCAAGCGAGCGCGCAAGCGGCAGCCGACAAGACTGGACAGTTGGAGAGAAGAGGGCGTGGGAATGGTGTGTTGAAGCGGGACCCTGGTCCTACCCGCGACCAGGGGTAAATGACGTTCATTTTGGCTTTGTGTTTATCATGTTTGCATCCGTGCATTTCTTTTGTTTAGTTTACGTCTTTCGATTCGAGGGCGATTGATCAGAAATTCGCAAGGCGAGTTCCCTGACGGTCGCCCAGTGGGCTGGCGACCACCTTCCAGCTGTCGGCAGGCCTGACAGCACTCCCGCATAGCAGCATATATATAGAGCGAGCTACATCGGGCAAATGAATACATCATCATCATCATCAATAACCGCTGGTTGCATTTTATTATTTATCAACATCATGCCTCTCTCTGCCCTTATGCCCGCGTTTTAATCTGCAGTCCAACTCCTGATTACCCATACCAGATCCCGCTTTCTATCCCGCGAGTGAGTCGAACGCCAGAATTCGTATATGATCAGATCTTGTTTCTTCCCCTTCCTTTAGAAATAAACAATTAAATTCGCACGCCGGTCTAAGTGTGACCTCGAATCTGATGGTGGGGTCTTCCACCTTCTCCTTCCCGCATGCCGGGAAAGCCACAATCTCCTTATACACCTGCAAAATTCTGATAACTGTGTACTGCATCTCAACGAATGCAAATTCCTGCCCGATGCAGGTCCTTTGACCACGATGGAATGGAAGGAACTCCCAAGGCTTCGGCTGCCAGCCGGACCACCAGCGCTGCGGCAACCATGTTTTAGGGTCAAAATAGTTGTCGGACCCAGGAGGAGGGTACAGCTCCTCACGCTGCATCATGAGACCAATTGAGAAGATAATACGGGTGTCTCCAAGAACACCAATCGGGGAGAGTCCATCCGGACCACCACCGCGTGGAAGGGTGGTATCTCGGAGGGCATGGCGATAATTCAAAGGAACGACGGGATATAGACGCATGGTTTCGTTCAGAACGGCTCGGAGACATTTCATGTCCTTCAGACCATTATAGGTGGGCTTGCGGCTGTTGGGTCCAACGCTAAACTTAGCGGCTATCTCCGAACGGACCTTGGCTAGTATGTCTGGGTTTCGGGATAATTCAAAGAGGGCAAAGGAGAGGGTGACGGCCGTAGTATCCCGTCCAGCGATGAGAATACCCAGCAATTGATCGCGGATGTCACGGCCGTCTCGAGTGGACCGTGCCAGAGCATCGAGGAATGTATCTGTTTTCGAGTAGGCTGGATCCAACTCTTCTGCTGAGCGAGAGAGGACCTCATCAATATATGGCTGGAGGAAATTATCGATCACCTTGAGTTCTTGGCGGAACTTTGTGCGTGACAGAAGCCGGGCGAAGTCACTGCAGAGAGGTCAGTATAATTAAATGCCTCTGTCTCCAGGGGGTTCAAGTATACTTACTCCATTTTAAAGAATTCTTCCTGGCGGGCCATGATATACGCGATAGCCTCTACGATTCTTGTCCCTGGATCTTCCAGACTGTTTGCGGCTTTTCCAAGTAGGTAGTGCGTGGCGGTATCCAAGGTATAGCGGAAGAAAAGTGGCACAATATCGACTACCCTGTTTGGCAAATCACTTCCATGGAGGAGAGTAATGAGTTTTTGGGCATATGTCTCAAATATCTCCAAGTTTGTGATGCGCTCTTTCGTGAACATTGGCCGGAGACGCTGTCGTGAATGCGCCCATAGTTGACCATCCGTGCTGAAAACACTATTGCCCAGCAATTCTTTCCAATCTTCGTAGAATCGCTTGCCCTTGCCATAGTCTGCGAACTGGCTGCTTATAATAGCCTTGATGTTTTCTGGGTCCGCTGTGAAGAGGTTGCGAGACAAGCCCGAGTTGAGCTCCACTGTTGCGGGAGATGTTTTGAATCTGGATGCTCCTCGGGCAGTTCGCATAGCAGTGTCCCAGAAGTCAAGATCTTGCCCTGTTTGAATAGTTTGTATGTACCCGTATACGAAGTCAATTGCTGGTTTGCAAGTCAGTACTCATGTGTTTTATTGTGTTTGGTATCGGAGTGGGATTGTGTGAGAAAAGCGCGTTCTTGCACTATTCTATGATCACCGTGGATGGTGTGGTAGGGTTGGCATATGGGTTGATAGGGAGGGTAAAATTCAATTATAGCACAAGTTCAACTCACCAAACGGGAGACACGTTCGAATCATGGGTGCCCTGGAACCCAGAGCAGCGATTCTTCTAGATATCAGGAACTTTTGCATCCAATAATAAAGGACTAGTACGCCCAAGACGCCTAGAGCCGCCCTTCCAGGCGTCAGATGAGGAGCCAAATCTTGGGTCATTTTGTCGGGTATTGAGTGGGGGAAAGAAAGAAAGAATAAAGATGAATTGATATTCTCCCTTTTGATCTGGTTGACAAGATTGGGGCTGTAGAGTACAGCTCAGTCTGGCAGAGAAAGTTACTGCAGACCAGGTCAATAGTTTCTGACACTTTGAACAAGTTATATAGAAAAATGGGCGAAGAGAACTATAACTCCCACAAGAAGAGCGGCTCGGGAAATTAAAAGGCATCGCTGGTTTCAGATCGGGTCGCATAATAATTCTGTGAGGCTTTATTTCGGAACTTTCGACAAGGATGATAGTCACTACGCAAAAGTTTTAACACCCCCTGGGCCCACTCCTCCATAAGTACATAATATTCTGCCAGTAGGAAAAACCCAAATATCTAGCTACGCTACGCGTTTTAAGGAGGCAATGGATTATTCATATAGGCGATCTGATAAGTGGGTCTTGAGGGGTGTTTAAGACTTTTGCGTAGTCACTGTACAATACGGAGTAGAATCATTTTCCGCTGCATCCGCGTACTGAGGGATTCATAGTGACGTACAGACTGAGGCATTTGCGCAAGCTGCGAACTTGTGCATCAAGGGGTCGGGTCGCACCCTCGAAATGGATGGGCAGATGGATAAAACTACTTCCTTTCGCATCGCGTAAGGTCGAAGCGATTTAACCCGAACCGACCCCTGGAAATTCTCGGGATTTCGTAGGAGCCGGCTTTCTTTGATGCAGGAGATTACTCCAGCTTGCGTAGACAAGTACGAACACAGTTACCTGATACTGTGCCGTTATCCCGGTGAGTTATTTTAACTACGCACTAACAAAACTAAGTTCGTGCGCCAATGGACGAGCCAATGACTTGATCTGAAGATATCCACATCTCTAACTTGGCTTCTCAGACTAAAGAGGCCTATGCTTCTAATTGGTTTTATATATCACTCACTTGCCTGCAATTCCGCACACGCTCAGCACAGATTTCCAACCGAATAGAAGCCTCCCACTGGCGCTATTAGTATCCAGGAGGGCACTAGGCCTCCTCCAGTACTAAGCGACATGTGTCCATCCAACTCCCGGCGGGACGCCGGATGTCTACTGCGTATCAATTGGACGAGATGCGCCCACAAAGGACCTATTGGCTGGCAGGCTACGATGCCCTGAATATCCCTCAGGCTACCGTAGCCTGGGACCGTAGGGAGGCCCCGTTATCACGGAAGGAAACATTCTGAAACCGAAGCCGACCTTAGTCCCGGATCTTATAGGATGTACAGCAACACAGTGGACGACGTAACCACAATAGGGGCTTGGAGACATGTCGACCACGATGTAAGGAAATCGCGCATCCAGATGGGATTGAGCTAGCGTCTGTCCCTGAAGGGAAATCAAGTCTATATAACGGCACAGTCGCGAAGGCGTGATAAATTGTCGTGGCACTTGGATTCTACCACTGCAACCCCGACAAGACTAGCTGTCCAGATAGAAAAGGAACTCGTTCTGATTAAGAACAGATTTTGCGTGGGAGGAAAAGCAAATTCGAAAGGACAAAGGAAGCCAGAGCACATCATCTCAGGTGACCGAAGGAGAAGGGATCCTCTCGTATATTGAAGATGAGCCACCCACAACCCATCTGCCGAGTCTCGAAGGAGGCCGAGCTGCTGAATGGCCTAGAAACGACTGAAGCCGATAGAATGAACGTTGCAGACAGCACAGCCGTCAGTCTTCCGCAGGCAGCTTCTCCCTCAGTCTCCCAGGGAAGTCACTCAAGCCCTTCTCACGGCTACAGTTTGGCCATGCTGCAAGAAGCCGTTGCGTTTGCTTCCAGCTACCTCCAGGTGCGGCTCAAAGAGGGCAAGAATCCTTACGACCCCTTGACTAAAGTTGGCCGTTTCAATCATTACATCGTGGATCCCTTATTCCGTTGGCATGGGCGAAACGAGCGGATCGTGGCCTCGCAATCCCTCGGGCGAGTGAGCATGCAGGGAGAGAACCGTTCGGTGTTGAACGGCGGGAGTCACAACTACGCCGGGTTGTATGAACTGTCGCCAAAGGATGAACAGCTGCAGCGGAAGTGCCTGGGCCATCTGCCCTTCGCGGATGCTGAGGCTGTCCCGTTGCTCAATCAAAGGATGGTCGACGGTCTGGCGAGGTTCTTCAACGCTGACTGTTGCTACACAACGACGACCGGTTACCAATCGAACGTCCTCGGGATACCGGCCATTGCTCGAGACAATTCGCTCATCGTGATGGATGAGAAATGCCACAACTCGATTTTCACGGCGTCGTACATGGCCCGAGTTGGAGCCCGCAAGAGGTTCCGGCATAATGACATGGCGCACCTACAGTCCATCCTGGAGTCAACTCAAGGGGAACACTCTGATATTATCGTGGTCGTGGAGGGTCTTTACAGGTGAGCTACCTTCCTTCCCGCCTGCGGTGCAAATCTGTCTCGAGTAACCACTAACGCCATCTCCCTTGGGTTTAGTATGGATGGGACCATCCCACCGCTGGATCGCCTGTATTTCCTCAAGAATATATTCAAATTCACCTTATACGCGGATGAAGCACACTCGTTCGGCAGATTGTCCTCTCCTGGCGCAGTCGTCCCTTTCGCTGTCTTCAGTGATCGTTCAATTTCGAGCTCGGTGATCGGGTGCCACGGAAGTTCCGTATCTGGCGTGGCCGGTGGGCTGAGTTCAGGTGTGTTCATTGTAGGGAAGAATGCTTCGAGGAAAGCCTTCGCTTTGTCTTTGTTCTGAGTGAACTCTTCCGAGCCAACTCGTAGTGCTGGGACGCAGCCCCATGTCTCTCGAGGTTTCATGTACGTCGCAGCTTTCCAGAGCTTTCCTTCACCAGCCTCGTCCAGGAACTGTCTCCAGTGTGAGGCTTTGGCTTTCTCGATGGTCCGGGTCCACGTTCGCCGTTTTTGTTGCATGGCCTGAAAGGCAGCAGTGGTGCTAGCATGGTCTCGCCCCAGCTCCGCGCAGCTTGCCTGCCACCGCCTGCGTAGTTGATTGACTTCGGCTTGTTGGACCTTGAGGTCCGGAGTAAACCATCGCTTGGAGTATGGCGTTGGGCGCGTGTCGGGCGTGAACCGGTCGACCGCCTGGGCCGTCGCTGATGTGAGGTTCTCCACAACCCGGTCGAGTGTTGGCCGGGTCTTGATCTCCTTCCATGGGCTCATCTGTCGGGCTACTTCTTCGCCAATTCTGGCCCAGTCCGCGCGCTCGTACGCCTTCCTCGCTTTTGTGCTTGGCTTGCTCTGAGGTTGTAGATTCCATTCCGAGTAGGTGGCACGGTGGTCGGATCCGTAGTTCTCGTGATACAGATGGCACTTGACGAGCAGATCTGGGTTGTCTGTTACTGTCTGGTCGATGGTCGAGTTTTGTCCTGGGTTGTTCAAGGCCCAGAAAGTCGCCGTACCTCGAGGGAGGCAGCTGTGGAGGTTGTGGGTTTAGAAAAAGTTGATCAGATCGCTGGCGTCTTCGATAAATCTGGGTGGAATGTGGTTGCCGCCCCACATCGGATGATGTCGGTTGAAGTCGCCCGTGATAATGATGCTTGTAGAGCGCTGCTAGTTTTGCATTGCGGCCATGATGGTGTTTCGTACTGCTGTGAGCGCTGGCACTGCTGACGCATCATCGCCTGTAAAAAGCGGTACCGGGGGTATGTAGATAGAAAAGAGAAGGATTTGAGAGTTAGCTGTCCAGATCTTAATGGCTGCGACATCTGGGTGGTCGCAAGGTATTTGACGGTGTGAGGAGGTGGAGATTCGTCTGTTGACGTAGATAAGGCTGCGAAACCGAGCTGCATCGGTCTGCGTGGTGGGTCGATAAAGTCGCCAGGCGCTGTGGTTGACATGCGTTTTATACATGGTGATTGAGGGCTCCTGGATCAGAAGAACATCCAGATCTTGGCTCTGAGGGTCATTGATCAGTGCCTCCATTCTCGGTCCCGATTTCATCATGTTCAACTGTAGGATGCGAAGGTTTCTCTCTAGCATCTGGCGGGGTTGGAGGTCGCTGGGCCTGGACACTGTCGATCGCCGGTCGGGTGTTCGCCGCTACAATCAAGGCACCGGGCCCTTACGCCGGGTGGGCATCGCTCCCGCTCGTGTTGGCCTGCGCAGTGTCCGCATCGTGGCGTTTCCTTGCACGACCATGCCAGATGTCCAAACCGTTGGCACCGGAAGCATCTCTTTTTCTTGATCTCGCGTCGTTCAACGTGAGGGATGAAGTGCTGGCTGACCACGAAACCTTTCCGCAGCATATGTTCCGCTCCTTCTGTGGAGTCGAACCAGATTCCCAACGAAGCAAATTTCCCCAGTATCTTGTCCTTCGATTTCATCCAGGCCAGTTCGTCGATGTGGAAGCCGTGTTCCGCTAGGTCGTTGTCTTCGATGATTTTCTCCGCTGCCTGAGTGGCTCCTGTTTCCAGGTCAAATTCCTCGGTGGGAGTGCGGTGTACTACAATACCGAACCGTGGTTTAACCAGCTTCGTGTTGTTGCCCAATTTGTGTAGCCACTCGGTGTTGTTGCGGGCTGTCTCAGCCGACTCTGTGTTCTTGAATCGAATGACGTAGCCAGTTTTGGTGGTGCCGATGCCAGCTACTTGGGCGTCTTGCGTCGCAGCGTCGTTCCGTAACGCTGTGCGGATGTGTGTGTTGGCAGCCTCGGTAGGAAGATAGCGCCCGAACGTGTTTCCATCGTTGTTATGATCTCTTGGGTCAACAAGTGTTCTCTCGGTGCTGATTCGGACGCAGTCTTGCTCTTTCTCGGGTTGTTGGGCTCCCAGTGAGAAGGCGCCATTGCTACCGTTGGCTGCGACTGCGGCCCAAGACCTGGTCGCAGACACTGTCGGGGCACTTTCAATCCGTGCTCTCAAAGCTTTCACCTCCTCGTGGAGTTTCTCGTTCTGTTCCTGGAGGACATTCTGGTTGTGTTTGATCTCCTGAAGTTCATTTTGGGTGGCTGCGATGGTCGTTGTTTGGTGGCGGATAACGTCCTTCAGCGTGCTGATCAGTTTCCACACTTCCTTGGTCGTGATTCGGCCGGCTGGATCCGACGGGGCGAAGGCATCTCCACTCCGGGTTCGCTTCCGGCTCTCGATGGTGGCCCTGGTTTCGAGGTCCTCCTCAATGAAGCTGGTGGTAGTTCCTTGGGTGTTTGTGGAAGGTGTCTCGGGCCCTCCCGTGGGTGGGTCCGTCATCGGTCAGGGGTTAGTTCCCGCTCGGTACACACAACAGTTATATATCACAGCAATCTTCTCTCTTTCTCAAGATCTGTCCCTGTCTGGGTGGCTTCCCTGGATACAGTACTTCCCGAAACTGGTGTCACCCCCATGGTACAGTCATTCTCGAAATCGGCTTGACCAATACAGTCAACTCTCGCTTATACCACGGTGGGATATTGCACATTCTTGATAATAACACATCCCTTGCTTGGATGGCCCCTTCATTCCAGTTTTTTCCATATAAATTGACAGAATATAACACATTTTGTTTTACCACACTTTCTTCCTCTCAAATCTGCTTAGTCAGCGCAATCAACCAATCAGAATGCCTCAATCTACAAGCTCTCCTACCCTCCCGACCCCACCCAAGCGCGTCAGAATGGGACCAAAGCGTACCAAATTGGGTATATCAGACGCGCAGAAACAGGCACTACGGGCATTTTGGTCTAATACTAGCCCAAAGCCCACGCAGACTGCATGTGCTAAGTGGTTTGAGGACCAATTCAAACAAGTGATTGACCGGTCAACCATATCAAGGATCCTTTCATCCAAATACAATTATCTTGATACGGGCCCTGCAGGGGCAAACAAACGATCTTCATCCTCTCATTGGCCATTATTGGACCAAAAGCTATATGACTGGGCAGATAACCATATTGGCAATGGAATACCAATAAATGGCCCTTTGATCCAAACTAAAGCAGCTGAGCTTTGGAGACAAATACCGGAATACAAAGATCGGACCAAACCTCAATTCTCTGAGGGTTGGTTAACTCGCTTCAAACAACGCCACTCTCTTCAATATCATACTTTCCACGGAGAAGCTGCCTCAGTCCCATCCTCGGTACATGATCAGATCAAAAGCACCAAATCGATTTGCAATCAATTCAAACCGTCCGAAATCTACAATATGGATGAAACTGGCCTATTTTGGCGACGTATGCCAAATGGTGGTCTTTCAAAGGGAAAAATTGCTGGCAAAAAGCTTGATAAAACACGAATCACTATTGTTGTTGCATCAAATGCGGATGGTTCCGATCGAGTCCCTTTATGGTTGATTGGCACAGCAAAAACCCCTCGCGCACTCCGGGGGTTAATTTCCGAGCTCTGGGATGTGTTTGGCGTCACAACAAGGCAGCATGGATGCGTCATGACATTATGGAGGACTGGTTGCGATCTTTCTATGGGCGTATTCCCTTAGATAAGAAAGCTTTGCTCCTTTTAGACAATGCTTCACCACATGTTATTGGACTCCAGCGAGCGCCACCACCACCCCGGATTACGGTTGTTTTTTTGCCAGCAAACGCAACTTCAATTTATCAACCCTTGGACCAAGGTATTATCCAAAACTTGAAGCACCATTATCGGAAGAAATGGATGCGCTATATGATTGCTTTTCTTGATCGTGGGATAGACCCAAAACAAAGAATGAGCATTTATTATACTGTTACCTGGGTAACGCAAGTTTGGAGAACAAGTGTATCAGACCAAACGATTATCAATTGCTTTAAACAAAGTACTTTGATTAGTCCAAAGTCTATACCTATACCTGAGTCCGCGCCCGAGTCCGCACCTGAGTCTGCACTATTTTCCGAGCCCGGATTGAGTGATGAGATTGAAAGTCTATATAATCAAGCAATTGATAAGCTTGGTGATAAAGATATTGTGCCATTTGACGAGTTTTTGAACCCTTCGGACGAAGACATGTTAGAAGATGGGACTGAAGGGCGAGATGAGACCAATGAGCAAGATATATATATTGCCCCAACAACCTCAGAAATTCAGGATATTGACATTGATGGGCCCCCACCTGAGCTTCTGTCTAATTCTGCTATATTGGACAGCCTCCAGGATATCCTACTATGGGTTTGTAGCAAAGAAAAGGGTACCTCGGACCATATTAGACAAATTGAGAGCTTAATCAGCGACTTTGGCAGGATTCAGATTGATGAGAAACGTCAGGTGACTTTGGATCAGATGATGGGATGGAAGACTAAATAGGTATTAGGGCTTAGAGTTAGCTTGTCAAATATTATGTCATCCTCTCACCAAAACACAACTCAATTATACCACGTAATTTGGCTTGGATAGTATGCTGTGGTATAAGCGAGAGTTGACTGTACACACTGAATAACTCTTCCCTAGACCCACCGCCAAGACTTTAGTGCCGATAAATTATTGA